TGGTGACGTTTTTTTTTCTGTTTGCACCCACTATCTCATAATTGACAATCAATCACATTAATCATCCTTTTGTCTTAATGATGGATTGAAAATCACTGGTAACTTAAGATAAGATTAATTTGAAATTAATGCCTTGTTGTTGTGAAGAAATATTAGTAGAGAGAGAAGAGATAATCTTCTCAAAGTGAAAGACGAAGCACTCACACCATGAATTCAGAGTTCCAAGAAGTTCTGAGAAAAGTAAACCAAATCTTAATGAGAAAATAAAAAGATTTAGATTACATTACAATTCTGAGGTTATCAGAGTTAAAGGATAGTCTAAAAACTAAAGATGCTGCATCATTGTTGATCTTTTACTGCATTATTATCTCATTAAGAGTGACCAATGGTCATCCTTGCTGACCAAGGCAAAAATAGCAAGAGCAAGTTGCCAAATTTACGCAATCTATGCTGTGATTTTAACAATTATTGTACATCAATACAAAAAATCCGATTAAATGAATTTTAATTATCAATACTGGAGTTGGATTATCAATTCAATAAGTTATTATATCCAGTAAGTGATAACAATGTTGTAATTGAGTAGAGTCTCTCATTTTGTTACAAGTTTCAAATTTAATCCAAGGGATCATGATGAATTCATGAGTGTGTGTAAACAGTTAGTTGTCACATTCACCAAGCTGATCAAGTTGAAATGTTTGCACAATCATTGTTTGGTATAATATTCATCAACATGATGAAAGATTAAATCATGAACTTGAATTTAAATTAACTAGCAAGTTAATTAACAATTTTACTTGCCATGAAAGAGTCAGAGAGAGAGAGAGAGATGCAAATTTTTCATGGATCTGAATGCTAACAATTAAAGTCTCCCTCTCTCTTTCTCTCGCTTCTCCCACTCACTGACTTGAGTTAATTGTAAACAATTGATATTTTCCTTCAAGGATTGCATTTGAATGTGATGCTATCGATGAAGAAAACATCAAGGTGAAGATGATGACAAAATAAAAGTATGAATATCAGAATAAAGTTTATTATAAGGTCTCCTAAAATGGATGTATACCATTGATTGACAGTTATTCTGATTATTTACACAGGCAAAGGAATAATTTAATGTCAGAATATATGAAAAAGTTAGAAAATGAGTTATTTATCATCATCTTCTACTATCTTGTTGTTGCATAATTTTTGCCTCCATGTGAATGTTTCCAAAAACAAAAACTCATCTCATGTGCTCATAGAGTTAAAGTTTTACTTCATTATGAACATGATTGAGGTTCCAAAAAAATATCTGATAATATGCAAAATACATGGTATAGTTGAAGAGATAAAATTCATATAACCATAATGATATTTGACATTTTCATTGAATCTGTAATTTAGATTCACCCTGTTCATTTTAGTTGATAAAGTAGCTGATCTGAGTGTAGAAATTTTCATCTAATGAACTTTTTCTTCCACCAGAATCTTCCAAATTCAAGCAGAATAATAATAATAAGTTAGTCAGATGAATCTCATGGTATTTAGTATAATATATCTGATATTTAGTGAAGATTTACTTGAAATATTCACCATGAAAATCATGAGAAATTCAATGTCACTACAATGAAATCTTCATTCTGATTGCTGATGTATTGATCATAATATAAGCATATGCAAAGTCATCGCAATTTCCAGTGGATGCTAAAAGTTTAGCAATTCATGTTAAAATGTTTGATGAACAGATTACAATCCATTTGCATTGGATTCCAAATTCAACCTCAAGTGTTTTATATTTTCATTTCCATGTACAAGTATTTATGGCTTGATAATATTCAGATAATATTATTGATATAATACTACTCAAGAATCAAGGTCTTTCTGGATGATTCTAACTCGATATCGATGAATGAAATCAAGGTAAAAAGATGAGCAGAGGAGGAAAGTTTATTTTGTTTTCTGATTCTTTCAGTTTTTCTCTAAACTCGTAATGGAAAATTGTTCAATCTCAAAATACGGAAAAAAGAAAAACTGATCTGTGAGAAAAGGTTTTATTAGGTGATTCTGATTATGATGATCATTAACATGATATGATTGTAGTAATAATATTTGCATAACAATTGAATAATTTGTGAGTGTTTTTTATTTCCACTGTATTGAAGGTGTTCACCTTTCAAAGGAGCTGAATTTTATTCATTCAAATATATCACTTTCTTGTTGTATGCAATTTACAGAATGATCATGAATGTATAATGTTGATGAATTCATATGAAATTTGATTGTTTTTATTCTTGATGGTTGATTATTTGACCTTTTACGATTAAATCATGATTACTGATTGGGTGATTTTCCTTTCAATGTTGATGATGAAAATCATGTCCTTTGGGAATTTGAATCATCAATGAACTTTTTTCTCTCTCTCTCTTTCTTTCTTCATTTTCTTTGACCAGTGTTTATCTTTAACTATTATTTTTGTTGACAATAGCTCAACATTATTTTCTTCATGGTGATGAGCCAAATTCTGATGAGAAACCAAGTCCAATTTTGATTGTTGTCCATTCGATAGATTAACATCCAATCAAGATGAACTTCCATCAATCAAAGTGCAAACAAAAGGTGATGGAGGTGCATCAAAAACAGAACATTGAACAGAGTAAAAAAAGAGACCAAAAAGAATAATCAAAAATGAGAAGAGAGAGAGAAAAAAACTTGATAGAAATTTAGTGAATTATCAAACGAGGAGAATAAGAAAAATTCGCCAAAAAAAAGACAACCTGAATTCACTCGAGGGAATGATGATAGAAAAAAAAAATGCTAAGTTGGTCAGTCACCACACATACGAACAGATAATGTCCAGTATCATTAATGAGGTAAAGGGAAGACCATCACTGAGCGAAAAGTATTACAAAGGTATTGAAGGGCAAGGGAAAAGTGATTGAGTGGGAGAAGGAACAAAAAAGTTACCAGCATTGTTGCTATGATGGTGATGGTTATGAGGATGTGATGAGATGAGAATTGATGTTGATAAAGTTGCATGTTTGTAGATTACCTGAGAGTGTCAACAACAAATCTCATCAGAATACCTGTAATAATATTCTGACGATGACACATAAAGATGAAAGAAAATAAGATGAGAAAAGTGATAGAATTTCCTATTTCAAGTTTTTCTATTACATCATCAAAACCCCCAGCAGAATTTGAGATTAGATTAACACACATATTCACACTTTCGGTGACAATAAAAAAAACGATGATGAGAAAATGATGAAGAGAAAAAAAGATGGAATTCTCTCTTTCTCTCTCACTTTCTTTTTCTTCTTCTTTTGAAATGTCCACTTTAAATTGTCATCTACATCTTGTTTGCATCTTTTTCGTTAATCAGACAATTCTAGTCAAGAAAATGGCTCAATTCTCACAGAATTCATCTCATGAGTAAAATTCAACTTTAGCTGAGCAGAGAAAACTTTTTACAAACAGAATTTCATTCTTACTCTCTTGATTCCATGAATTGAATACATAATGTTAACGTTTCTGATGCTATTCTGTAAATGATGAGCATCGAAAAGTAAATAATATCAAAATTTCTAACTTATTACAGAATAAAGTTCTTAAGGATGCTCGATTCTCCCTTGATTCCCTCAAAAGTAAACAAAGGAGAAAACACTAAACAATGTGATCTCTTTTCATGATATAAACTCATGGAGGTGATGAAAAGACTATCAGAACTTTTCTTCAGAAAAAAGCATAAACAAGCTAAAGTGGTTTTTTCCTCATCTGATAAACTAATATAATGAAATGATGCTGTTCTGAGTATTGTCAGAATCGATTGAAACTACAATATGGGAGAGAGACTGACATTAAACTTTGAGTAAATTTCGCTTGTGACGAAATTTTTTTTATCGTTCTTCATGATTGTTTCCTAATGAAAAAGTGATTCAATTCTTTCTAGGAACTTTTTTTTACTGGGTATGCTGAGCAAATACATGTGAGCCCTTCAATCAAAATCAATGAGAAAATGAGAAAATGAGAAAAAATTAAGAAAAAAATAAATTGACTCATTTCAATCTCCAAGTAACTGAATTGGTCAAACTAGTGAACATTCAACAATTGAGATAATTTACTTTCGATACACTTTTACTTGAGCATCGATACTTTAAGAATAATATAATCGTTAGGTTACTCAACAACTGAATTCAATATCATCCAATCAAATGAGATCGAAATGATGGAAATGCTATATTTTTTTCCTTCTCTCTCTCTCACTCTTTCTCTCTCGAAACAACAACAAAAAAGTTACGACTCTCATAAGAGCTATTAAAGCAAATATCGTATCATTAGATTGTAGTTTTTTTCTCCCTGTTATCATCATGTTTCCTCATTATTATTATCATGAGCATCATCAAGAACATCAAGAACATCAATATCATCATTAGCTTTATCAGTTTCATCAGAATTATTTCATTTGACAGAATTTCTCTCTCCTTATCATCATAGATTCAATCTAATCTCGGACAGTGAGATTCATTGAAAATGATTACACTGATTGCAATTTATCATCATTATATTTCTAGGGAAATATATATAATACTTGTGGATAATTGTATTTACTATTTATCAATCGTTAGTAATTGTTAAATCTCACACTGCTTATCATTAGATTATTAGGATGATCGTGATAGTTATCGAATGAGTTTTGAGAAAAGTTGATTCAATCACAATTTACTTTTACCAATAGAATCAAATTATTCTTTTATCAAGTTCGTTATTGAAGCGATTCACATTTCTTATATTTAGATTTTCCGATCCGCTTTTCTTTTGTTTGATTTGTTGATGATCATAAAGTTAATTCCAATTCCGATAATATTAATACAAATATTATTAGGATCAGGGAAAAAGTTTTCTTCTACTCCTCATCATTTTTGTCTTGCAAGTCTTGAGTTTTCAAAAAGTTATCTGATTAGTTGAGGATGAAAATTTCCCCTGATTTAACTGATAGTTTGTTAGCATCATAATCATTATTGTTTTCTCAGAAATGAAAATAGCCATTGGCTATTGGTTTTATTTTGAAGGTTAGATAAACAATGAAACATCATCATCATCATGGTAAGGAAAGAAAAAATTGAAACTGAAGCTCAGATGAATGGAAAATAATAATGAAAAAGTTTAACTTATCCTTCATCATCATGATGGGAATGATAAGCATGATTGGAACAATAATATTTTACTGAACTTTTATATACAATAAAAGTGAAAAAAAAACAAGAAAAATTTGCAATATCATCAATAGAATATTGAAAGAGAAAAATAAAAAACTTTTTCTTCTCGGTGAGTTACCAAAAATTCTGATAGTTATTTCACAATCATGTGAATTGGAACTTTCTCGTCCTCTCTCTCTCTCTTCTTCTCTCTTTCTTTCTTTTCATCTTGAAAAGTCACTGATTGATGATCAGATTGAAATCAGTCCAGTTTTCAATGGTTTCAATTTTCACCCAAACTTTTATTTTATCCATGGTACTTATCGAGATTGATGAATAGTAATTCATCATTGACCGGTTTACCAACATTATCTGGTATCCTAACCCAGGGTGGAGGTTGAAAGCTGATTAAATCAATGGATATAAACTCATAACGTATTCAGAGATCACCTTTAATAACGAGATGAACAGTAAAACATATGAATCAACCAAAGAGCCAAAATATTTTATGAGGAAAAAAATTACACATCACAACTCATTTCATTTTTTTTACATAAGAAAAAAAAACTTTATCTTGATAATTTGATAATATTTCATTTTCTCCAAGCTAATATGGTGATAAACTTGATGAACGAAATTAACATTGTCGTAATCAAAATGCTTTCAACTCAGAATTTGACCAGATATACATTTAAGTGTTTATTGAATCACCTGTTTTTCCTGAATCATTGAAAAGATGTCTCAATTTTCGTAAGGCAATTAATGGCTCAATAGGAAAATGAATCACTTGCAGAATTTATCTAGCTAACATTTCACTCAATCTTCCTCTACCCATACCTTATCTTTTATCTTCCACCCACAAGAGAATACAATTTACTTTTAATTACTTACGATACATTTTCATCTATTAACATTATCTTCCAGTTTCTTTATCCTCATCAGCTCTCAAACGAAACCAATTCTATAAGTTATCAGTAGATATTATTATTGTTATAATAGATTAGTTGAAATAATATACATGGATAATCTGTTTTCTTACCTCAATGAACTTTCATCTTCTTGTCTTCATCTTTTGTTACGCTCGGACTCATCTCGACCCATTTAGCTTTTTCCTCTTCCATTCAGCAATAATATTTCGAATCACACTTTCTATCTCATTCATACGTTCTTCTTTATCTTTTCTAATGGAAAACATTTCCTTATTCTTCAGAGCTTACCAAAGTTCGAGGTGATCTTAAACTCTCTATTTGTATATCTCCTTTTCTATTCGCCCTTTGACTTGTAGGTTTTTCCATTTGTAAGAGTGTGAATTGGTAGGAACACTCAATTACCGAAATCTTTAAAGTGGGGCCAATCTCAAATCACAACACAAATGAGCAATTAACGATTAATTAATGAAGATTAAATTTAATGTAGAGCAATACACAATAAGAACAAAGTAGCTTAAAGTATAAATATATTATATTAATTGAAGAGATTTAGTTTAACAACAATGAAAATCAACTGGTTCACATAACTGACTGTCTTGTCTTAAACAAGCTTGTATTTTATACCCTTTTGATTAAGGTGACATTTAATCAACCTTTGATTTTGTTGGTTGTTGATGATGATGTGAACTTAGGGGTGAGAGCAGCTTACCTTCCCTTACACATTAACAAAATACAGCCAAATGAAATGAGTATGAGGGTAATTTTATATCATTTGCGCATCGAAAGCGATAAGAAAATCTTATCAATTTGAATGTACGTAAACGTGTTTGAACGTAAATTTGAATGTCTTGATTATCTAACTGTCGTTATCACCTTTGCTGCACGAATGATAAAAAAATTACCTTCAAACTCATTTCGTTTGGCTGTATAAAAGTAAAGTTCAATGTTTCCATCAAAATTTTTGAGAGTGTATATTGACTTCGGAACTGCTTCTTCGTCAGTATGACAGTTGATTAGTTTCAATTTCTATTAATAGGTTAAACTGTCCGTTTAACTGTATTCGTTATTTTATCAGAGAAACAGAATGAATGATTTCTTTTCATTTAATTTATTTCATTCAACTCTTTGATTCCTAGTCCTTGTTATTTACTTATTTTCTGATTGTAGATTATTTAATTCCTATCCCATATCAATCAAATCACAATAACATGAAAGAGAGAGAGAGAAAAGTTCATTCTGATCAATTTGAAATCCATATTAGAATAGATTTTAAATTATCATTGCAAACACCATGGATAAAGAGATCTATCTTCTTGCCACTTGAGTTTGTACAAAACTATCGAGGAAGAAAAGTTCTGAAAAAAAGTTTAGTTAAGAAAATTGAAATGCATCGAAAATGAATAAGATCGATAATTTTCTGATAACATTAATAGTTCGATAATTTAAAATTCTATTGATTCTGTTTATCGTTGAATGTTGAGTGATGATCTTGGAAGATATTTTATCAATAGTGAGAAGCTTTTTTTTCTATTATCATCTAAATTCTTCTTGTTCAAGACAAGAGAGTAAAAGAAAATAGAGATAAAAGGGAGAGAGAGAGAGAGAGAGAGAGAGAGAGAGAGAGAGAGAGAGAGAGAGAGAGAGAGAGAGAGAGACAAGATGCCTATGATGATAGTAAAGAAGAAGAAGAATGATTATGCACAGAAAGAAAATTGGAGAAGAAAAAAAAAGTTCTATTAGAAAATTTAGTTTAGATGGAAAAGGAATAAAATGTGTTAGAAAGAGGATAAAGATTAGGAAGATAAAGAAGATACTCAAATAACCATTATCCAGACAAGTCCAGCAGAAAATTTGTTTTTCTCAACCCATTGACAATCGATTAAATTCTGATCTGTTACTGAACAAAATAGAGAGAGAAAGAGAAAAAGAAAAAGTTCTAGTGAGTTGATAGATATTCAAATGTATTCAGAATAAAAGTAACTGGAGACACATAGAAAAAAAGAGATACAAATGAATGATAAAAAGGAGAAATAAAAATTAGATGAAAATACTCTGGTGGTTTTGTCAATTATCGTTCATTCAAATGTCCAGAGAATTTTCATTTTCACTTATTCTGTCCAATAATAAGCTCAAATAGACTCTCATCTAATCAAGTAAAACTCAAAGGAATTCAATTCCCATGAAAAGGTTATCACAACAATTAATAGAAACAATTTACCAAATGAATTGGACATTTTAAAGTATCGATACAAGTTTCAATTAACATTTTCTATTCATTGTTATAACTTCACTTTGAAGCTGATCTTTGGACAAATATTGATTGATCCATGAAAATTGACCATCACCATGCATGAATATTACATAAGAAGTGATAATGGATTAATTTTGAAAATTCATCTTATTATTTTATCTTATTAATCCAATCGATCAGATTTGATTATATTGTCATGGAAATTAGTTTTCATTGGTAACTCCAAAAATCACTCCCACTTCAAGTTGGTCAGCAAAGTAATCATCTCTCCTCCTCTTCCTACTCCACCACCTCCTCTTGTATCAATTGGAGATCACATAATCAATCTACCGGCTTTTTTCAACTTTCATCACTTCATGTGACCCTCTCTCTCTCTCTTCCTACTTCTCTCTCGGTGTGTCATGAATCAATGATGAAATTGAATGAATGATATCGTATAAATGATTTGCATTCCAAATTTTTCGATTCCTTCTCTTCCCAATTTCATTAAGCATTCTAAGTGCAAACGATGAGAATTTTATTCGTTTTTTTTATTCCACTCACCCCACCCTCTCTTCCATAGATCATCCCATTTCTTTTTCTTTCCTATCATCATCATCATCATCATCATCATTTTCTGGTCTTCTCTCATTCTCACTTGTACCTTTTTTTCACCATAACAAAATCAATAATTCATTTCATTCAATCCAAATCTATTGCATGAAATTTTCATAGAAACATTTGAGTCTCCATGTAATACAGTCAGAATCATCGTTTCAGTTCATATTAATGATGTAGTTTCTTGTTCATTGTATTTTTTTTAATAACTCACAAAGTATTTATTTCGAGTTGATTTTTTTCTCTTCTTGTTTTTCTGTCTGCTTCATGATGATCTGAATGGCTCCAAATAGACCAATCTAAATGATGGTGCATGTTGTCTATCTGTTTGTATCTAAATTTCACTCAATTGGGTGAATTGGATAAATTAATGAACTTTTCCTTTTCCTCTCTGGCTCTTTTCCTCCTTGGGTGTTCACATTAACACAGAGACTGATATATTCATGATAATTGTTTTCAATTTAATTGGATAACCAATTCTAGAAAATCATTAGAACTCAAGTTGTGATCACACATTCAGATAATGACGATAATGATTCTGAATTCAAGCTGAACTTTTTTTCCTCTCTCCTTCTCTCTGTATCTCTTCAAATTCACCCATAATGATGATGATGTTAATGATGAAAATAAAAACATTGTATCTATCGCACTGAGTGTATATTGAATTATATATCAAGTAACATAATAATAATGAGATAATATAATATAAATAAAAAAACAAATTAGCAAGGGTCACTTGAGATGTACATTGTCATTGGGATGAAGATGAGGAAATAGCAACATTGAATTGATTTATGTATTATTAGTGTCTATTAGGATGATGAGGATGATAAAAAAGAGGAAGAAATTTGTGTGATAGAAAGAGAAATAGACAGAGAAAGAGATGAGAGGATCATCATTGAGGTGTGATAAATAATTATTTAGCCAATTTTTATTCAAGTTAATTTGATTTAAGCTTAAGAGTTGGATGAGGAAGATAATCATGAAAGGACATGGAAGTGAATTCAGTAATTCATGATAATGCTCTCTCTCTCTCTCTCTCTCTCTCTCTTCATTATCTTGCTTGTTCTTGTTGGTGTGATGATGATAATGCTGAAGATGGACAAGCTTGTTGAGTTTCAGTAAACATAATTAGGCTTGAGCTCTGAAAAACTTACTAATCAACCTCCTTAGAGATTTACATTGCCTAATTAAGCTAATGTTTAAAAATGATGCGGATGATGATTTGGAAAGTAAGAGTCTAGAGGATAATAATGAGGATGATGAGACTTTCATATTCTAATAATAATCAGCACCAGGGAGGAAAATTTCATTTTCCACCAACGATAATGTTTACCTTTGATTCACCCAAAATGAAACACTTTGAATTATTTGTAAGACTTTTTTTCCCAATGTGAACCAATACAAATTTTGTAAACATAAAGTCACTTGTCAATCTCATTATCTGATCACCAATTAATATTAATCATTTGCAATTAACTTTATTGCCTTTCCATTAATTATGCAAGTTTATCTGAAGTAAAAAACGTAAACGGCAGCAATTAAAATTTGATTATGATTAAGTTTGCATTTGAAATGTTTCACTTTCATTATCAATTGAAGTCAATCACTTTTAATCACAATCAAGTTAAATTTTCATCCAAAAACAGTTAACCATTTAATGTTTCAATCATTAACAGTTGAATTACTTTCAGATAATTAAAAGTAATCACAATTTTTACTCCAATAGTAATAATAACTTTCAATTTCTCGAGTAAACTTATTAACTCTCTCTCTCTCTCTCTCTCTCTTTCTCTCTCTCTCTCTTCTCTCTCTCTCTCTCTCTCTCTCTCTCTCTCTCTCTATCTCTCTCGCTGATTAAATTTTCATCTTCTCACCATTAATATTAAATTCAGATTGATTATAATTGGTTAATTAATTTAATCATAACTTTTTCTCAAGTTAAATCATTTCCCGAAATGGTGATCAATTTTATGACTGGATAAGGATGGAAAGTGCATTTTGTAATCATCATGAAGATGAAAACTCAGTTGGATGAATGAACTTTTTTTCCCTTTCATCTTTCAATCCAATTTGATTACATGAAAAATATAATATTCTTGTAAATATCATTAAACATTGTAATCTAATCCTTTTAATTATTTAGTTGAATGTATATTTTTAATTAGTTAGAGAAAAACTAAATATTATCATCAGATGATTATTGTTAGATAATTTTAATTAATTGTATTAATTGAACTTTTTTTCTATTCTTCTTTATGAATTTCAATTAATTTACTTTTCCAATGGATTTAATAATAAACATAGATAATTAGATTCAGACATATTAATATTATCAATGGTGAGAGAAAGATTTTTGGTTAAACTTGAAATATTAATAATTACCAACCATTGAGTAGCAATTTAAGTAATATATTTAAGTTTAAACAACTAATTAAATTGCAAACAATTAGCTTATTATTATTATCATATTATTGTTAATTGTTGTATTACTTTTTTTTGGGTTTCCCTAAGGTTGTTACCTTGATTATGATAATAAAATTTGTTGGTGATAAATTACAGTTTAAATTATCTCAAGCAAATCAAAGTTAATCACAATGCTGATCACACTGAATATTTATCATTTAGCTAAATTGAGAGACAGAATTAACTTTAATTATAATAATCAACAAGGTAGTAAAAAATAAGAAGAAAAAAAGTTATGATAAGTATTAAGCTTAATTGTTACGTTCAATTGTAACTGTAT